AAGGGGAAACCTATAACAATAATGGAAATGGAGGAATAACAATGAGAAATGGATAACAGAAAAGTGGGTGAAAAAAAAAAGTGGAGACATTGGACAGAGTAAGACATGAAAAAATAATAATTTATAAATTATCGAGGGTTCATGAGGTGAGGGTGAGGGAGGGGGGAAAAATGAGTAGCTGATACCAAGGGCTTAAGGAGTAAGAAAATGTTTTGAAAATAATGATAGCAACAAACGTACAAATGTGCTTGACACAATGGATGTATGTGTGGATTGTGATAAGAGTTGTACAAGTCCCCAAGAAGATGATTTATTAAATTTTTTTAAAAATTATTTTAACTCTTTAGAGGAGTAGAAAACCCCGTTTTTCTCCCTCAGAGAACTTGGTGGTTTTGAACTGCTGACTTTGCCATTAGCAACCCAACCCATAACCACTACACCACCAGGTAAGGTAGGTTCTATAAATAAATAAAATGTACAAGTTATTTTGCAGCAGATGTTCTTTCCCTTCTTCACACTGTTAATTGCCCACTCAGGCTTAGTCCCTCAATTCAAGTATCTCCTCCTGTGGGAAGGAGAGCTGACCTCTCGGGATCATAGTCTCTCGAGGCGCAGCTGCCCCTTTCTCCTCCCAGCAGTTCTAACTTGTTGAAAGAATGCATGCATGAATAAATGACAAACAGTGAATGTCACATTTGTACTAGAATCATTGCAAAGGACCTTAATGTTTCAAAGTTGGATTCAAATACCAACTCAGCTACTTACAAGATGTGTGACCTTAGGCAAATTATTTTCTTCTTTTTATAAAATCATTTTATTGGAGGCTCTGACATCTCATAACAATCCATACATCCATTGTGTCAAGCCCATTTGTACCTATGTTGCCATCATCCTTTTCAAAACATTTTCTTTCTACTTGAGCCCTTGGTATCAGCTTATTTTTTACCTCCCTCCCCCACCTTCATAAACCCTTGATAAATTATAAATTATTATTTTTATATCTTACGCCCTCCGCTGTCTCCCTTTATCCATGTTTCTGTTGCTGATCACCCTGTGGGGAGGGGGAGTTATACATCAATCATTGCGATCCGTTCCCCCTTTCTTCCCTCACTTTCCCGTGGCCACCCTCATGGTATCAATCGCTACTCCCATTATTGTTCCTGAAGGGTTTTATCTGTCCTGGATTCGGTGTCAAGAGCTCTTATCTGTACATGCTCTGGTCTGTAGACAAATTATTTTCATTGTTCTGCACGTGTTTCCTTATTTGTAAAATGAGAAAATAATGGTAGCAACTTCTTGGGGTTACTGTAAGGCTGAAGTACATTTTAAAAAGTATTAAAGTCTTTGAATGATATCACCTGGTGAACCCTCTATGCGGGTTAGCTATGATATTAGTCTTGAAAACATTGGGGGGGTTTTGTTTTTGTTGGGGGGGGGGTTGTATCTTTCAGTCTACTGCACTCCATGATGTGCCCTGTCTCTTTCTCAACCACATCTTAGTGGTTTTAAATGACGTGGGAGTAATTTTAAATTACTTATTCATTGGTCTTTAGAATTAGGCTGAAAGAAAAATCCATTTCCAGCTATTGTCAACAGGTTGTGCATGTACGGGTTTTGTTTTTTAATACTAAACCAAGACCTAGAACAAAAGGAGTGATGCAGAAAACTGCCAAGAATAAAGGAACCAGAAGAGGACTGGCAAATTGGGAGTTTTTCCATTTCAAAGTCTAAGATACAACCATAAAGAAGTGGTTAAAGCCATCGCCAGACCCAAATCAACCGTGCTTAGAGCTGACACCCTAATCTTTCTGAATCAGGCCACTCCGAGCAAAGGAGGGGGGGGAATGTTTAATGCGAACCTGAAATGTGAAATGTTAAGGCTAGTGGGGTGAAGGTAGCCCTAATTACTAAAGTCCCTGGGAGGATTTACAGGCCAGCTGTCTTCTAGAAAATGCCGTCCTTTGTACCTTAAATACACAGAGAAAACTTCACGCCCGAATCACCCATCCCCATCCCAGTCCCTCGTTAGTCTGGTCCACTCCGCCCCCCGCCCCCTGCCTGGCAGGCGACTTTTCTGGCTTCCTTCTCTGCGGGTCGCCTCCGTCCCTGCTGCCACCAGCCGGGCCTCGGAGCGAGAAGGGACAGCGCTCAAGCCGCTGATTCCTGGGACCTGACCCACAGGAGCGAAGGAATAAAGGCGGGGCGGGGGGGAAAAGGGGGGACACGCTCTCGTCTTTTAAGTCGACTCACCACCCCGCCGTCCAGAACAAACCCCCGAGTGTCTTCCCCGCCACACCACAAAGGACCGCGGTCCGAATCTCCACGGGCGCCAGGGCCGAAAAGGCAGCTTGGAAACAGCTGCAGCGCGACCTCCAGACCCAGAGGGCCATCGGCACCAGGGCCAGCCGGCTTTCCCTCACCCGCTGGCCGTGCCGACGGCCTTGTTATCGTGGGAAACCCGGCGGCTCCCCGCGCCCGTGGCCAGAGCCGGCCTCGGGCCGACGCTCACCTTCCTGCCGGAACCGGGAAAGCAGCCCCTAACCGAGCCGGGTTCTGACGCGGCGAACCGGGACCGGGACCGGGTACCGTCTCGATTCAAACTGCCCGCGGCCGCCCCGCCTCCGTTCCCACAAGCCTACTTCCGGTCCGACAACCCGCACCGGCAAGCCC